CTCCCCTTTATGTTCCTGCTAGTTGGGTACAAGGGATACGACATTGTGTCAGATCAGAACAGAGCACAATGTTAACAAATGCATGGGTTAGAAACTCAGGCGGAGAATTGCATTTCTGTGGCAGAAAGTAAAACAAAATCTCCGTTGTAGTTGTCTCTTCTGGCCAGCTGCTTCTAGAAGCATAACACCTTTGCTGGAATCATTTGAGAATTTCAAAAGAATTGCTGTGCATGTGGGTGTGAGTAGATATACCGTGTTTCCCCGAAAATAAGACAGGGTCTAATTTTCTTTTTGCACACAAAATATGGCTTGGGCCTCATTATGAGGGGAGGGTTTATTGTTTTGGGGTTGCCGGGCAGCTGCTCTCTTGCAAGCGGGCACAGCCTCATGGGCGAATGGCTTTGTTGCGCTGTCGCAGCAGCGCAACACAACAGCCATGAAGCGACCACGCTCATGATCAGCCACCTGGCAAACCCCCTTTCCAGCAGTGCAGAGCACCATTCACTGACCTAGGGGTATCGCCAAGCTGCGTGAATGCCTGTTTGCCGCCGCCTAGCTCCCGCGGCTTGGTGCCGTCAAAATGCCAGTGAATGGCGCTCTGCATGGCTGGAGAGAGGGGTTGCCCGAGCAGCTGTTCCGCTCTCGCTCACGCGCCTCCCAGCCTCACGATGCCCTGGCCCAGCTTTCCCTGCAGAGCCAGGGCACCTCTGCTGCCGCCGCCACTGCCGCCACCGACATCCCAGCATGGCTTTTTCAGCGGCTTCCAAACCGAGTCTTCCAGTAGTGGCCGCTCTGGGCGTATGCTCTATGGTTGTACGCTCTGCCAGCAGCTGGCCCACAACCAGAAAGCGTACACCCAGAGTGGCCACTGCTGGACTCAGTTTGAAAACTGCCAAAAAAGCTATGCTGGGATGGCGGCGGCAGCAATGGAGGTGCCCTGGGTCTGCAGGGAGAGCTGGGCCAGGGCATCGTGAGGCTGGGAGGCGCGCGAGCGGGAGCAGAACAGCCACTCATGGAACCCCCTTCTCCAGCCATGCAGAGCGCCATTTACTGGCATTTCTAAGGCGCCAAGCTGTGAGAGACGGGCGGCGATGAACAGGTCTTCATGCAGTGAAGATACCCCTAGGTCAGTGAATGGTGCTCTGCCCGGCTGGAAAGGGGGTTTGCCAGGCGGCTGCTATGCCCGGCTTTTTGGGAGCCTGCTCGCAAGAGAGCAGCCGCCTAGCAACCCCTCTCTTCAGCTGGGCACAGCACCGCTCACCAACCTAGCAGTATCCCAAAGGCACCAAGCAACGCGATCACCTTTGCCGTCCCCAGTTCCCACAGCTTGGCACCTTCGGGATACCGCTAGGTTGGTGAGCGGCGCTCTGCCTGGTCGGAGGTGGGGGGGTTGTCCAAGGGGCTTATTTGCAGGGGAGGCCTTATATTTTTGCCCACCAGAAAAATGTGGCATGGCCTTATTATCAGGACATGTCATATTTTCGGGGAAACATGGTATATACATATGTGTGTTTTAGCCTCAATCTGACAGCAACTGTTTTTATGAATACACACAGAGAGCTCTGTGCTGTCCCATGTCTCAGGATCAGTTGCCAAGCTTGGATACATCAAACCATTTTCTTGCTTGAACTGCTTAGATATTTTGTGTATGTACAATCTCTGCCCAAACAGATATCCAGACTGGGAGCATAGGTGAGAGGGTAGGAAGACAGCAATGGGTACTAGGGCAGCCCCTTCTCCTTTTTCTACTGATCGCCCCCAGCATGATTGCCTTTTCAAGTGTATCAGTTTGCATAACACAGCCGAAGTGTGATACCCTTTGTTTGGCAATCTTGGCTTCTAGATCTGGATTTGGTCTAGGATTTCTTTGTTTGTGATTTTTGCAGTTCATGGGATGTGTAGTAGACTCTAAGATAGCAGCTGATAAAAATTGAGCCATTCTCTGTAAGGGTTACTTTTGATCCTGCAAAAGAAGAGATTCAGCATTTGGCTCAATGTGGAATGGATTTTATTGATAAGGAGTGTTAAAAGGTAGCATATATGCTGCAATATAGCCTTTATTGTCATCGTACATCATTTATACAAAGAAATTGGTTGTAAATGTCATAAATGGGACAAAGGAAGAAAATTAGGGCAAGGGTTTCAGGCTCACTCAAATTACAAAGAGAGGTTGTTCCTACAAAAGAGAGGTTTTTCCAGTGTCTACTCTGCAATATCACAGTGGAGAAGAAGTTGAGATGGGCCAGTCCAAAAATCTGGTGGGTAGCAGAATGAGACTAAATAGGCTTTTAGCAGGAATAAGCAGGTTCCGATGAAGAATCTGCCAGCAAGAATCACCAACAGCCTCCAGATCCAACTGCCGCATAGAATCCCTCAGCCTTCAATCTGTCCCCAGGGAAGTGTAAAGTGGGTCTCAAAAAAGTAAAAAATGATGGTTGTGCCTGTGCAATTGAAGCCTCATCTCTAACATGTGTCTCATGTAGAACACAGGAAAAAAGGGCAGAGCATTGGTTGGCAAGATTGCAGCCTCTAATTTCTTTTATGCCCCTGGACACCAGTGGTGGGTTCCAGATTCCGTCGCAACTGGTATACTACACATGGGGCCAGATGTCCTAGTTGGGCATGTGCGCTGCGCACACATGTGCATGCCACCGCCCTGTGACACCCAGCTGCTCGGCAGAGGTCATGTAAGTGCCGCATGCGTGTGTGCAATTGGCCAGTTGCATTATAAACGCTATGGAACGCAGGCGGGTGGACCAAACGAGCCACCGTACCGGTACAGTGGCCGCTGCTCCCGGCTACTACCGGTATGGCCATACCGCCCGGAACCCACCATTGCTGGACACCCCATCCACATCTCACAGCACTTCAAGATTGTGACGCTGACTTCCACTAGCATTTTGATGATGTGCCTTTAAGTCAGTGTTGACTTTTAGCAACTACTTAGATTTTCTTCAGGATGTTACGTCCTCATCCTGTCCTTCAGGTCTTCCAGAACTGCCCCAATTGCAAGTGTAACTAAATCCATCCACCTTGTTGTTGGTCAACACTTCTCTTTTCTTCTAATTGTCCAGCATTAGAGACCTTTTCAAAAGGCAGTTCTGCTCATAATATGATAAGTTGAGCCTCCAGTATGAGCTGATTTCTGCAACCGATCCATTGCTTTGTGTTTTTGGCTCTCTACCAAGAGTCCTTGGCTCAGGTTTTCTCCAGCCTCGAAGTTCAGATACGTCAATCCTTTTTCTCACCTACTTCCTTAAAGTCCAACTTTCGCTTCTCGCATTACTCCTTGGGCGCTGGTTGTTTTGTTGCTCAAGCATAAGTTGGGGAGAAACCAGGCGCTGATTGACCCATATGGACCAAACCTAAGCGGTACTTCCTTTCTCCCATCGTAGGAAACGCTGCATCTCGCATAGGCAATACCAAGCCAGGGAACTCAGCCCATCCTTCCTCCCTGGGGGCTTTCACGTGGGGGACACAAACACCTCCCCGCCGCTCCCCCTTGAAAGGAACTGGGGGAAAGACCTAGGCGGGAGGACCCCGCCTCCTTCTGCTGTCCGTCTCTCGGAGGCGGCCAATAGGGCGCGACGACACATCGGCCTATCCGGGAATGCTTGTGATTTCCATGGCAGCGCCTCTGCGGACTGAGCGGACTAGCTTCTTGGCGAGGCTTGGAGGAAGAGGCAAGAGGAAGCAAAGCGGAGCGAGCGACGACCGGGCGGTCCGTCTGCGGGGAGATGGGGCCCCTGCGAAGCTCTCTGGTAGGTGAGGAAGCGATCCCTGGGCTTCGCAGGCAGGGTTTACACCGAGCAGAAGGGGCTAAGCAGCGGCGGCAATCGTAGCTATTAGTTTCCCGTCTTTCTCTCTCTCTCTCTCCTTTCTAATTGCCGGTGGAAAAGAACTGCGTTGCCTTTATTCCCCCGCTTTTGATCGCCTGCGCATCGGAGAAGGAAAAGCAACACCAGGAGCAGAGCTCTGACTTCATGATTTCTGCGCACAGAGAGGAACCGCGCGCTGCACGTGCTCCGGTTTAGCAGAAAGCAGCCTTTTGCTGTCAGAGAGAATAACAAGAGTTGGAAGGGACCTTGGAGGTCTTCTAGTCCGATCCCCCTGCCCGCTTAGGCAGGAAACCCTATACCATTTCAGACAAACGGTTGTCCAATCTCTTGTTTAAAAACTTCCAGTGTTGGAGCATGCACAACTTCTAGAGGCAAGCCGTTCCACTGATTAATTGTTCTAAGAGTGAAGCTTCTTTTGCTTATGCTCGGAAGCATTCTGTCCCTCCCCGCAGCCACGTTTTAAAAGTCATTATTAACCCGTTAGATTTTAGTTGAAGTCCAGAAAATAAAGGATGGGACGGCAGAAAAATAAATTGATTATTTAGCTTGATGTTGTCTTTTCTGTTTGGCTAGCTTTAGCTGTGAGGAGGGGAAAAAATTGGTATCGTTGGGTGCATAACGTTCATTTAAAAAAAACCTAAAACTTTTCTGATGAAAGTGGAAAAGAAGTCCACTTTATCCTTATATCAAATTTCACCAGAAAATCTGTACCTTGAT